ACTACCGCGCATTGAAAAGGGTAAGAGTAAAGTCGCAATACCCCATCCCCCTCGCCGACGAACTGGTAGACCAACTGCGAACATCACGGGTTTTCCGAAAATAGATTTGCAGGGAGGTTACCATCAGATTAGGGTCGAACCATTAGACTGCGCCAAGACGGCATTTAGAACTAGGTACGGGTCATTCGAGTATACAGTGATGCCATTTGGGCTGACCAACGCACCAGTGATTTTTCAAATGACCTTGAACGAGGCGTTTAGGCCACTTTTAGATAAATGCGTGATAGTTTACCTCGACAACATCCTGGTATACTGTCGCGATAAGCAGCAGCACTTAGCCAATTAGAAGCAGTATTTAAAATCGTAGACGAAAATCGCCTACTTATCAAGGGTTAGAAATGCGAGTTTTTTCATTACCGGCTAGAATATCCGGGGCACGTCATTTCAAAGTCTAGAGTCCAAATTGACCCAAAAAAGTTAGGTACGGCAAAAGCGTGGTGCCCCCCAACCAATATATTACAGAGTTTTTTAGGGTTCATTAACTACGTTAGTCGGTTCGTTCCCGACATGGCGCGCTTCACGTTACGACTGACGGATTTACTGCGGAAGGGAGTGGTGTTTACGTGGGGGGAGAAAGAGCATGCTGCCCTTTCTGCCCTGAAAACTGTTCTTTGTTCACCGCCCGTACTGCGGATTGCCGACCCACACCGCCCATTTGATGTCGTTACAGACGCAAGAGACATCGCCATCGGAGCTGTACTGTTACAAGATTTCGGCAACGGCCTACAGCCCATTGGATACGAATCACGGAAACTGAGAAAATTTACCTGATACACGACCGCGAAATGCTCGCGATCGTACATGCGTTCAAGGTGTGGCGCTGTTACTTGACCGGTGCAGACGTGACAACACGGACGGACCATAAATCACTACAGGACTTCCGCGCACAGCCCCACCTTAACCCACGACAGGTTCGTTGGCTCGACTTCCTCAAGTCCAATTTCCATTACACGGTCACATACAAAAAGGGGGCATCAAACATCGCTGACGCACTGACCCGCCTAACTGCCCAGATACACTCCATACTACTCGCCCAGACCAGCCCGCTACTGATAGGACTATTTTCCCACGGTTATCAGAAAAACCCGTTCTTTACTGGAGGAAACTCGTAGTAGTTTGCAGCAGCAAAAGGGGTTCATTACGTAAAAGCCGGCACCGATCGCATTTGATTACCGGGCTACACTTTACTAAGGGAGTTGTTACTGTAGTAAGCATATAACGGGGTACCTCAGGACACATCGGAGTAGAAAAAACACGGCAGCAGCTGCAGCGGTATTACTACTGGCCCGAGATGCTGACCAACGTGCAACGACTCGTGGCATCATGCCCCACCTGCCAACTCATGAAGTCATCACGGAAGTGGCAGGCAGGACAGTTGTGTCAGATATATATGACTTAGTCTCTGTAGGCTCTAGTGGGGTAGACACTAAGGGGTACAGGTTTTCTAGGGTTTCATATTTGTATCCAACATTTCCTTAGTTCAATCATTCCTCATTTCTTCACAAGTTGCAGCCGATACCACCCCCTGAGCGTGCTTGGCAGCAGGTGATGATGGACTTCGTCACGGGGTTACCGGCTGGAGCAAGTGGGAACGACGCGATCCTGGTCATCGTCGATCGGCTGACAAAGATGGCACATTTCGCAGCCTGCAAGAAGTCAATCACAGCCGAAAAAAACAGCCCGTCTCTTCGACTACACGGGATACCAGCAGCGATCATCAGCGACCGCGACACGAAATTCACCAGCAACTTTTGGCGGAACCTGTGGCAGCAGTTCGGCACGTGACTATAGTTCAGTTCATCGTACCACCCCGAAACTGACGGACAGATAGAATGGACAAAGCAGTCCATGGAACGCCAATCCGAGCCACGTGCGACGACCCGACCACGTGGGAACGGCAACTGCCACTCATCGAATTCGCGTACAACAACTCCCCATCAGCCACGACCCAACTGTCACCCTTCTACCTGAACAACGGACAAGACCTTACAGTACCAATGACCCCGAATCTCGACAATCCGGTGCCCCGCGCGCAACAGTTCGCAGAAATTTTACAAGCAGCGCGGATTGGAGCAGCGGACGCAATAAAAGAATCAAACGTCATCGCTAAACGCAACGCCGACAGCTGTCGGAACATTAGGCGAAAACGAGAAACAGGAAAGAGGGGTTTTCACTAGCAGCAGTTGAGATATATATAGGAAACCCTAATTGGGTTGTACTCGCTATAGAGTACCCCACTGCAGGCTAGACAAACATCGACATTCTGACACACCCCCATAGTCAAAGTGGGGTACAATCAACACAACAAGCAGGCAGTGCAATAGTTCACAAGGATAAGCAAAGCTAGAGGCTATCACAGAGGGCAAGTGAGGAGGAGGAGAAACTATGGAGGACGAGAAGATGAGAGGCGACGGCTGAAGCTGCAGACACACGGGCAACAGGAGTGCGCAGCACTGACGCTACCAGGCTAAACCCGGGCTACACGGCGACAGGCGCAGCTGGCTCACTGTGCTCCCAGGAGTGCTCACACTGTGGCTACCGGGCGCAGAGCCCCGGACTACACGGCCACAGGGGGTCGTGGCTCTCTGGACTACCAGGAGTGCTCACACTGTGGCTACCGGGCGCAGAGCCCCGGACTACACGGCCACAGGGGGTCGTGGCTCTCTGGACTTCAGGCGCTGCGGACGACAAGTCGGCTACCTCCGGTCAACCTCCCCCAATTGTCCCACACCCCTTTCACACACCCCCTGCTGAACCACTAGCACTGCTCACACGCCACCCCCCTCGTACCACTCCGACGGCTCCAACACATCCACCCCCCTCAGCGGCAGCTGCAGCAGTGGGAGACGGAGGAGGAGGAGGAGCAGGGGACGGCTCACACACACGGCACCCCCATACTCTCCACCCGCAAACCCTAACACAGGAGTGCGGTCAGAAGCTCGGGGGACGGCGTGCGGCACTGGGGCAGACGGTACGGGCCGCTCACGGGCCTGGCGCAGGCCGGACGAACCGCGCGCGGGCTGCCCGAGCCGCGCGCGGGCCTGGCGCAGCCCGTACGAGCCGCGCGCGGGCCTGGCGCAGGCCGTACGGGCCGCGCGCGGGCTGTACGAGCCGCGCGCGGGCCTGGCGCAGGTCGCGTGGGCCGCTACGGGCGACGGGGGGCGACGCGCGGGTCCCCGGGGGCGCTGCGACGGGCGACGGGGGGCGACGCGCGGATCGACGGGGCAGAAAACCGCCTCGCGCCTCGGGGCGCACGGCGGGCAGAAAACCGCCGCGCGCCCCGAGCGCGCGGCGGGATGAAAAATACGCCGTGCACCCGAGCGCGCGGCAAGCAGAACACGTCGCGCGCCCGGGGCGCGCGATAGGCAGGACAGCAGCGGAAGCATTAGGTGGCGGGCCCATCCACAGGATCGACCCAGGAGGGTCGACCTGCTCTGATAGCATGTCGAAACAGCAGGCGAAAATGAGAAACAGGAAAGAGGGGTTTTCACTAGCAGCAGTTGAGATACATATAGGAAACCCTAATTGGGTTGTACTCGCTATAGAGTACCCCACTGCAGGCTAGACAAACATCGACATTCTGACAACAGCCACCGCCGACCTATCACTACCAGCCCGGCGACCAGGTTCTACTCGACACCCAGAACCTTCGCCTGCCCGTCACCCCAAAACTCCGCCCTTGATATTGTGGGCCGTTTCGCATCAGCCACATGATCACCCTCGTTACCGCCCACCTCCTGTTCCCGGCTGATTGGTACGTTAGCCCGTCATTCCACGTCAGCCTGCTTCGCCCATACGTAGCATCCACCAGTAAGCTGCCCTGCAACCTCCTAGCCAACATTACACAACCACCCACAGAGCCAACCATCACGTCCGAGAAAATCTTAAGCCATCGCGTTCGTGCCCCACGAGGAGCTCGCAAGATCGACTTTTTGATCCGCTGGAAAGACCGCACGCCCAACGAAGACAACTGGGTTTCCCTGGATTGAATCGAGAACCACCCTGTCCCCATTGAGTACTTGCACAGCCGAAATTTCCGGGACATATACGCGCTTTCGTAAGGAGGGCCTCTTTAGGGGGGGGGGGGGGGGGGGGGGGGGGGGGTAGTGTAATCATTTTCCTAATTTTGCATCCCTGCTCAGCGCGTACACCACTGTTCCCGCCAACAGTTCCCAACAAAGCACCGTTACCACTCGCGACACTCGCCTCGACAACTGTTCCTGCCACTGTTCATGAAGCGACCCAACCTCACGGTTCGATTAGTAACCCGTGCTCCGGACCTCCGCCTCGACAATTTCCAACCTAGGCGCTAGGCCGTAGCGCACCCCATTTTCACGCATTACAGTTACCATGCTAGTTTCGCTATATATTCTTCGCTCATGCGCTACTGTTTTGCTTCGACAGTGCAATTCTCGCTCGCCCCTCAATTGCAATCAACATTTGGACGGGGCGGAGCGAGCCGTGTGATATTGCTGGTTGAAGCACACGAACGGCGCGATGGCGCTTCGCGGCTCCTCCTCGTCGTCCTCACTCTCACCGCCACAGACGCTCCGAGACCCGCTGCTTTGCGCCTTGCTTATCAACCACCACACACGAGTGGAGGAGCAGGGAGGGCGCAGGGAGGATGTAACAAGGCGGGATTCGCCATGCAGGCATGCATGGGGATTTTCAAACGGGCCTCCGTTGCCCGGCTACCTCCGAGCAGTGACAGTTGCGATTGCGAGCCTTGAGTACTGTCTCCTGTCCTTGCGGCCACACAGACATCGCCTACGAAGACGCGATTTTCCAACTAGCTAGTCCGATCGCGATCGCGCCCATTTCAACGGGCTTTCTTCGTACCCTCCCCACGCCCGGCACTTCCGCTGTCACCACTTGCCAGCTCGCCCCATTTGCTAACCATTTCGTGGCGACAGCATCGCGAAGGTCGCGCGCGGCAGAGAATGGCGGCGAGCCGTGAGGGAAGCGCGCTGCCGGACCCCGCGGCCGAGGCGGCGGATTCGGACTCGCCGCGAACAGCCGAGGGGATCGGTGGTAGCGGTGCGCCGCCCGGCATCGGCGCAGCCGTTGACGCGCGCCTGCTGAGAAGCTTCGACGGGCTCGCGCGCGACCTGGACCACGCAATTCGCACGGCCGCGACGCTGTCGCAGCAGCACGACGCCATCGCCACGTGTCTTCTCATCGCGAACGCGCTCTGTGACTGGCCGGAGACCGAGGAGCCGCGGCCGCGGGAGGCGTTCGGTTTCCGCATGCTGCGCAGCATGCCGTGCGCCGCCGAGTCGCTGCAGCTGCGAGGCAAGCCATGGTTTAGGGTTGACGGGGGGGAGGTGAGAGATGGGGCAGCAGTGGAGGAGCAGGAGCGGAGCAGGCGTGGGTTCCATGAGCTGCTTGCCATCCCCCCCCCCCGCTGCTGCCGCCTTCGCCGTTTCACTATCCCCTCGCCTCCAGCCCCATGTGAGGCGCGCCCTCGTTCCCCCAAACAAGCTCTCCCGCATGTCCGTTCGCTGCCTTATCCTCCCCACCCTCCCTCTCTCCCCCCAGCAGACACGTTCTTTGTGATGGAGCACAGCAGCAGCAGCAGGCGGCGGGCAGCATCAACGCCATGGAGGGGCTTCTGCGGGCCGCAGGGCAGCTCGCATGTCCCCGCCACCGCCGCCGCGCCCGCCGCGCTCTGCCCGCTGCTGCCCGCGGGCCTGCGCGCCCCCTTCCCCACGCACCTGGAGGTGGCATCGTCTCAGATCGACCGCACTGCCAAGGTGCGCCTCCCAGCACAGCACAGCACAGCACAGCACAGCACAGCACAGCACAGCACAGCACAGCACAGCACAGCACAGCACAGCACAGCACAGCACAGCACAGCACAGCACAGCACAGCACAGCACAGCACAGCACAGCACAGCACTGCACTGCACTGCACTGCATTGCACTGCACTGCACTGCACAGCACAGCACAGCACAGCACAGCACAGCACAGCACAGCACAGCACAGCACAGCACAGCACAGCACAGCACAGCACAGCACTGCACTGCACAGCACAGCACAGCACAGCACAGCACAGCACAGCACAGCACAGCACAGCACAGCACAGCACAGCACAGCACAGCACAGCACTGCACAGCACAGCACAGCACTGCACAGCACAGCACTCGCCTTGTCGCTCACCTTGCACTCCCCCACCCACGCCTCACAACGAACTACGCCCAATGCGACCTTGGATCTCAAACGTCCTTCGCTCACCAATGGGCGGCCATCCCTCATGCAAGCACCACGCACTGTGCCATGCCCGCCTCACTTGCCATTCCGCACCCCTCCACCCACCACTTTCCCCGCCCTCCTCATCCCCATGCTGCCCATGGCAGAGGCAGCGGTCGCAAGGCGGCATGCTGGCACGGCAGCACAGCCAGGAGGATGTTGAGCAGGTGAGCGTGCCCGCCACGCGTACCGAGTCACTACCGTGCCATGCCTGCCTTCCCCATCGCTCCACTCTGCTGTCGCCTGCATGCGTTCAGTTTCCCCTTTCCCCATCCCCGTTCCCTTCCCGCCTAAACTTACCCGCCCACTGTGCTTCTTATCCCATGCTGCCCGTGCTGTCCAACCCTGTTCCTCGCTGCCCGTTCCCAGCTGCACAATCTCAGGGCAAGGCGCTTCTTCCTGCTGCTCAACCAGCCGCTCTCGCAGCGACCCCCACCACCACAGCCCCTCTCTCGATCGCTCTCACACGCACACGCCCAATCACCAGCGACCCCTTCCATGTCACCCTCAGGCTCGCAACCCCTGGCATTGACAGCAGCAGGCTCACAACAACCGATGGCAGTACCCCCCTCAGGGTCACAGCTGCGGTCCCCATCATTCTCCTCCTCCCCAGCGGCCATGGCGGAGAGTGCTGCGCCCACCCACCGCTTCTGCCAGCCACTTTCCCTTGTACTCATCTCCTCCACCCCCTCCCACACCCCACCTCCCACCTCAACCCCCTCCGCCTTCCCCACTCTCGCCCCTACCGCTGCTGGTGCTGACATCCGCGCTCGCACTGCTGGCGGCTGTGAGTTCCTGGCGGCTCTGACTAGTTCAATGTGAGATGGTTGAAAGTGCTTTGGTTGTCTCATACTCGACCAGCGTACTTTCCTTGCTCTCTTACCTTCGAGTTCACCCTATCTACCCTGCTGGTGGAGTATGGGGCTGACATCCGCGCTCGCACTGCTGGCGGCTGTGAGTGGATTCACATGAGATGGTTGACAGTGCTTTTGCGTGTATCATTCTCCACCCAGCATCCTTTCCTTTCCCTCTTGCCTTCACCTGCTGTGCCATTGTTTCCGGAGCCGCTTTCCTCCTCCCGGTATCCTGCTGCCTCCTGTCCTCCACCCTCCGCCCTCCGGCCTCCTTTCCATCCCTCAGCCTTCTCCCATCCACCATCCGCCCTCCGCTCTCCACCCTCCGCCCTCCCCCTTCCCTCAGGGACTCCACTGCACAACGCAGCGAGTCAGCGGCAGTGGGAGGCGGTGAGGTGGCTGGCGCAGCAGAGAATAGAGCCAGCAGAGGTGGAAGCAGCGGGAGCCAACCCCAAGGCAGACAAGCTGCCTGCGCACCTCATGGCAAGGGCAGTGCAGATCGTGCAGGAGGAGTATGCTAGGCGGCCAGGCCATGGGGGGATTGGAGGGCATGCGTGGGGGGACGAGCCTGGTGCGGGCGCAAGCTGGTTAGATGAGTTTCTTGTTCTTGATAACCATGGCGGCACTTGAGTGCTGCCACTGCTCATTGGTGTAAACGCATGAGAATGTTAAGTGCAACCCTTGCAATGCCGCTCACCCACGTCACAACACACGTGCCTCAGAATGCATGGAAGGGAAGTACCTAATAGAGGTCATATTTTATTGGTTCATGATTGACAATGTAAGGTTTCCATTTTGATGTGCAGTGGTCTAAAGCGGTGAGCACCAATACCAGCCCTGCAGCTCGTATTCGCGTGCATAGCGTGAGCACCGCGCACGCCCTGGATCTTCCATCGTGGCATTCAGGGCCGGTGGAGAGGGCACTCGCGGCCCGCACGCGAGCGTCTGGTGCTTCGCGCGCTGCTCTCCCCCACATCCTTGCTGGTGAGGCGCAAAGGGGTGGCACCTGGGTGAACCAGCCCAGCCTAAGGCAGCGAGCGTGAGAAGCAGGCTGCTTGTTCACGTGCGGTGCTTGTTCACGTGCGGTGCTTGTTCACGTGCGGTGCTTGTTCACGTGCGGTGCTTGTTCACGTGCAGTGCTTGTTCACGTGCGGTGCTTGTTCACGTGCGGTGCTTGTTCACGTGCGGTGCTTGTTCTCACGCCATGCTGGTCGTGCTGGGACCCTCGCCCTCACTCTCTCCACCCCTGTCTCCTCCACCTCCCTCCCATGCAACGTGTCCTTGCTGCCAGGCACGGATGTGCTCATGACGAGCGCCAACAAGTTCCCCAACGCGGCTTCCTTCCTCGTACGCCTCCATTCCATTCCATTCCATCGCGCACCTTGCTTCCCTCCCACACTCCTTCCTCACTACCCTTGCTGCCTGCACCGCTTCACATAATGGAATGCAGCCGCTTCGTTTGAAAAGATCAATCCATTGCTAGTCGTTTTCCTTTTCATTTGAACCTTAAACAAACTCTGCAAGCAGAACCCCATGCTTCCTGCTCTCTCCCCAATCACCCCGCACTTTCCAATCCAACCACCAGTTGCCACACCTTCGCACCCTTCTTCACCGCACGCCACCGCTTCTTCAAGCCAGTGGTGATGCCCCTGTAGAGATCCTCTTTCTGGCTGTTTCAAACTACGCCTGCAGTAGGTTTGTAAGCCAAGTCCAGTCGCTTATAGCGAAGCGTTTAAACTGCAGCAGTGTGGGGGGTCGAGGGGGGATGGTGCGGGGCATGCAGCAAGGGTGGACGCTCAGATACTGAAGATGCGGAAGGAAGGAGGGCAGTTGAGAATGCTTCCTTGCCAGGTGAAGGGGAATCTGTCAAAGTATATGCATGTTATATATGTGTAGGCTGTAGTGGGGTAGCCAATATGGGGTACAGCCCCTTTTAGGGTTTCATATTTGTACCCAAAACTTTCATAGTTCAATCATTCCTGGTGCTAGATTCTAACATGGTTTCAGAGCACTAGGTCCGTAGGACCGTTTTTTTCGGGCCCACCTACCGTTGCGGTTACCGCGCTACCCCACGTGTTGTCCTGCGCCTGCCTGCCTGCCTGCCTGCCTTGCCTTGTGACGTGCTGCGCTGCGCGCGCCGTCCTGCAGCCCTCGCGCTGCCTACTGCTGCCCTAGGCCAGAGCGCCGCCCCTGCAGGCCCGTAAGGCCCGCGCGCCGCCCCTGCAGACACGTCAGGCCCGCGAGCCGCCCCTACAGGCCCGTCAGGCCAGAGCGCCGCCTCGCCAGGTCGCTGACGCGTCAGGCCAGGTCGCCGCCCCGCGCGTCGCGCCCACAGCCCGCGCGTCGCGCTGCAGCCCCGCGCGTCGCGTCCGCTGCCCGCGCGTCGCTCTGCAGCCCCGCGCGTCGCGCCCGCTGCCCGCGCGTCGCGCTGCAGCCCCGCGCGCCGCGGCTGCCGTCCTCGCGCAGCCCGCGGCGGCTTCGCGCGCCGCGCCCGCAGCTCGCGTAGCACGCTGCAGCCCCGCGCGCCGCGGCTGCCCCTGTTCGTCACGACGCGGAGCGCCCTGCCACAGTCGCGGAGCGCCCTGCCACAGTCGCGGCCCCGCCCTGCAGCAGCTGCCGCGGAGCCTTCTGCCGCCGTCGCGGCCCTGCCCTGCAGCAGCTGCCGCGGCTGCCGCGGAGCCTCCTGCCGCGGTCGCGGCCCCGCCCTGCAGCAGCTGCCGCGGAGCCTCCTGCCGCCGTCACGGCCCTGCCCTGCAGCAGCTGCAGCGGAGCCTTCTGCCACCGTCGCGGCCCTGCCCTGCAGCAGCTGCCGCGGAGCCTCCTGCCGCGGTCGCGGCCCCGCCCTGCAGCCGTCACGTCCCCGCCCTGCAGCAGCTGTCGCGGACCTGCCCTACCGCCGACGCGGCCCTGCTCTGCCGCAGCTGTCGCGGCCCCGCCGTCGCCGCCGTCGTGCGCCTGCCCTTCTCGCCACTGGTGAGCACCTGCCTTGTTCGCGCACTGCCGCGCCACCTGCCTGCCTGCCTCCCTGCCTGCCTGCCTGCCTGCCTGCCTGCCTGCCACGCCTGCCTGCATGCCTGCCTGCCGCGCCTGCCCTGCCCGCTCTGCTGCTGCTGAAACTACTGCTATTGCTGCTACTGGCGGTGGCCAGATGCAGCTCCAGCGACGTTCACGCGAGTCTCTCACGCCCCAGCAGCTTAGTGAGTGGTACGCTAGTTGGGGTTGTGGCGGTAGCCGTCGTAGCTGTCACCCTGGAGCTGGTCAGTTGGGAGCGTCTGGCAGTGGCCAGCTGCAGCTGCAGCGGCGTCCACGCGAGACACTTACGTCCCAGCAGCTTCACGAGTGGTACGCTCAGAGTAGAGGGTCTCGGAGTACCGTTCGCTGCCCGTACGTCATTCGCACAGGTGATCGGGCTGGTCAGGCTTGCAGGACACTTGGTCACACACAGTCCCGCTGCTTCGCCCGTCTGAGCGACGCCTGGCGTACCGAGTTTGGCGACGAGGCTGAGCTCCCCACCTGGCTGGAGCTGCTTGGGCAGAGGGTAGATATCTTTGCTCTTGACTATGATGCTATTCTCACTGCCATGTATGCATTGCCTACTAGTGCTGACCGTGCCTGTTCCCTGTGCGTACCGCCTGACCCAGGTATAGAGCCTGCTGCTCTAGGTGCTGGTGAGGCTGCTGCTCTAGGTGCTAGTGCGTCTCCTGCTCTAGGTGCTGGTGAGGCTTCTGCTCCAGGTGCTGGTGAGTCTGCTCTCTCTGGTACTGCGATTGCTGAGGCCTTGTACACCTTCACACTTGACTCAGGTGCTTCTCGCTCCTTCTTTCGCGACAGCACCACCCTCACGCCGCTCCGTCGGCCGGTTCCAGTCTCCCTGGCAGACCCCTCTGGGGGTCCAGTCCTTGCGCACTCCTCCACGGTCCTGCCGTGTCCGGCGGTCCCGTCTGGCTCACTATCGGGACTCCACCTCCCTTCGTTCTCTACGAACTTGGTGAGTGGAGCTGACCTCTAGGACGTGTGGGTTGACCAGTTTACCCCTGGAGGTCAGCGCGTGACCCACTGTACGTGCTCCCGGACGGGCCGGCACCTGGCCACGTTTACCCGTGCGCCTGGCTCAAGTCTGTACACACTGACTACTGTGTCCCCTCAGGTCGCTGCGTCTGCGTCTGCGTCAGGTCAACTAGCGGCCCCCTGCTCGTGTCGCGCTTTGTCGCACCAGACCCTCCTTTGGCACCACCGCCTTGGTCACCCCTCGGTGCAGCGCCTTCGTAGCATGCACCGCCGTTTCCTTGTCTCTGGACTTCCAGAGACTCTGCCTCCTCTACCACCCTCGCCTGCTCCTCCCTGTCTTCCCTGTGTCGAGGGGCGGCAGCGCGCCGCTCCTCACTCCTCCTCGTTCCCTCCCACAGAGGCTCCCCTGCAGACTCTCCACCTGGACGTGTGGGGCCCAGCCCGCGTCCGTGGACAGGGCCACGAGCGGTACTTTCTGCTGGTCGTCGACAACTACACGCGTTACACCACGGTCTTCCCCTTGCAGCGCAAGGGGGACGTCCCTGATGTTTTGATCCCCTGGATCCGCGCTGTTCGTCTCCAGCTCTGCGAGCGGTTCCAGTCGGACTTTCCTATCCTGCGTCTGCACTCTGACAGAGGTGGTGAGTTCTCCTCAGACCTCTTGGCAGCCTTCTGTGCGGAGCACGGCATCCGCCAGACGTTCACGCTTCCGGCCTCTCCGCAGCAAAATGGGGTTGCTGAGCGCCGCATTGGCTTAGTCATGGAGGTCGCTCGTACCTCCATGATCCATGCGGCTGCCCCCCATTTTCTGTGGCCGTTTGCGGTCCGGTACGCCGCGCATCAGCTCAACCTCTGGCCCCGTGTCTCCTTGTCGGAGACCTCGCCCACACTGCTGTGGACGGGGAAGGTTGGCGATGCGTCGCGTTTCCGGGTCTGGGGTGCTCGTGCCTTTGTCCGCGATACCACCGCGGACAAGCTCTCCGCCCGCGCTGTTCCCTGTGTCTTCCTTGTCTTTGTCCCTGACGCGCCTGGTTGGCAGTTTTACCACCCCACCTCGCGCCGTGTCTTCCCCTCTCAGGACGTCACGTTCGACGAGTCGGTTCCCTTTTACCGTCTCTTCCCCTACCGCACTGCCCCTCTCCCCCCCCCGCCGCTCTTCCTCGCTCCAGGTGCTCCCCAGGTAGACCCCCTCCCCGCTCCCGGTCCTGCTCCTTCAGGTGTGTCTCAGGTAGACCCTCCTCCCTTGACTGAGCCGGTTGAGGTCACTGGTGACTCAGGTCCTGCTGAGGGTGGTCCTGCTCGGGGTGCTGCTGCTGGGGGTGCTGAGCCTGGGGGTGCGGAGCCTTGGGGTGCTGAGCCTGGGGGTGCGGAGCCTGGAGGTGCGGAGCCTGGGGGTGCGGAGACTGGAGGTGCTGAGCCTGGGCGTCAGGAGTCTGGGGGTGCTGAGCCTGGGGGTACTGAGTCTGGGGGTGCTGCACCTGGGGGCGCTGAGGCGTCTACTGAGCAGTCTCCCTGGAGCGGCCGTCTCCGTAGTCGCTCCGCTGGTGCCTCGCCGCTGCACTCTCGTCGTCGTCTACCTCTCTCCCCTCGGCAACTGCGTGAGTGGTACGTCAGCCGTCAGGGTCGAGCTGCTGGAGCTAGGGGCCCTGCTGCGGGAGGCGCTGGAGCTGGTGACTCTGCCACTGGAGTTGTTTCTACTGGAGGCCCTGGAGCTGGAGGTGCCAGTTCTGGGGGTGCTACTGCTGGTAGCACTGGAGCTGGAGGTTCTGGAGCTGCTGCGGGTGCTGGCGCTGGAGGTTCTGGAGCTGTTGGAGGTGCTGGCACTGGTGGCGCTGGAGCTGGAGGTTATGGAGCTGTTGGAGGTGCTGGCACTGGTGGCGCTGGAGCTGGAGGTTCTGGAGCTGCTGCGGGTGCTGGCGCTGGAGGTTCTGGAGCTGTTGGAGGTACTGGCGCTGAGGGTTCTGAGTCTGCTGTTGCGCGGTCTCCTTGGAGTAGCCGCCTCCGTCCGCGTGTGCCTCTCACCTCACAGCAGCTGCACGACTGGTACGGTCGCCGTCAGGGTCGCACTTCTGGAGCTCGGGGCTCTGCCGCTGGAGGTACTTCTGCAGACGTCACTGGAGCTGGGAGTGGTGCTGGTCCCGGAGGTGCTCGTACTGGAGGTACTGGAGCTGCTGGGGCTGGAGGTGCTGAGCCTGACGGTGCTACTACTGGAGACCCTGGGTCTGGGGGTGCTACTGCTGGAGGCACTGAGGCTGGAGACCCTGGGACTGGAGGTGCCGGTTCTGGGGGTGGTGCTGTTGGTGGAGCTGGTCCTGGAGGAGCTGGCGCTGAGGGTTTTGGAGCTGCTGGAGGTGCTGGAGCTGCTGGGGGTACTGGAGCTGCTGGTGCTGGTGTCACTGCACAGCCGCGCCTGTTCTTCGCTCCACCGTCTCCGTCGTCTCAGCCACCGCCTGACTCTGTGCTTCGCCAGGTTCTTAGTCTCCCTTCGTCTACTGGTCTTCCGTTACAGCCTGGCTCACCGCTGCCTGCTCCTTCTCCTTACACTGAGCAGCTAGGGGGTCTTACTGAGCGTCGTGAGCCTGCGTCGCGTCCTGTCTCGCCTGTCTTTTCTGGTCGTTCCGGTCGTCATGTTCCTCGTCCGCGTCTGCCGGCTGTCCCCGACACCCACCTCGTAGTCCGTCGTCCTTCCTCTCCTCCGCAGCGTGTTCCTCTGCCGTCTCCTCCTGCGTCTTCTCTG